AAACGTGCAGAGTTCCTCCTCTCCCACGTCTACACTCCCTATGTCTCGTTTGACCGACTCCCTCTTGCCCCCGGTGAACCCAATCACCCTCGTCACGGCGTCGCCCTTCTTGCCCGCAAAGGAAGCGACGACTGCCCAATTGTCTCCAACCTCACGCTGAAACACGCAATCCCCGGTCGCATGATTGTCGCCTCAGCATCCATCCATGGCATCACCACCCTCCTCGTGAACGTGTACGCTCCGGCCAGCGGCGACGCGTCCTTGCGCATCAGGTTCCTCGAAGAAGTGGAAACCATCATCACCACGCACCTGCATCCGATCGTCGACGGAGAAGCGCAACCCGCCCTTCCGATGATTGTCGGCGGCGACTTCAACCTCTGCTTGAGCAATCAACGCAACTACTTGTCCTCCTCTACTCATCCCCCGCCATTGGATCTTGCGCAGAGGTTCTTTGCCAACCTGACCTCCCGGCTCAACCTGTCCGAGTCGTGGACGGAGTGCCACGGCAACAAGCATCTGTACACCTGGTCCCCAACAGGCAACTCCCCTGGTTCCAGCAGACGCATTGATTACATCTTCACCAACGATGCATTTCCCTTTACCCCCGTCTCCTTCGAGGCTAAGGAAACGAGGTCTGACCACCGAGCTCTCATTGCGGCTTTCCACCACGTTGACCACCAACACCGTCCCCCTCCGCCATTCAGACTGAACTCCCGGCTCCTGACGGACCAGCGTCTGTTGGACTTTGTCCACACGTGCATTGATCAGCTGAACGAGTCCATCCGGCTGTCGAAAGATCACGCCCCCCTGGCCTGGGACATAGTGAATCCTGGACTTTGTCCACTAACGTTTCACCAACGATGCATTTCCCTTTACCCCCGTCTCCTTCGAGGCCAAGGAAACGAGGTCTGACCACCGAGCTCTCATTGCGGCTTTCCACCACGTTGACCACCAACACCGTCCCCCTCCGCCATTCAGACTGAACTCCCGGCTCCTGACGGACAAGCGTCTGCTGGACTTTGTCCACACGTGCATTGATCAGCTGAACGAGTCCATCCGGCTGTCGAAAGATCACGCCCCCCTGGCCTGGGACATTTTCAAATCCAGAGTTGTCCGCTACGCGTCGTCCCTTGGCGCCTACGTGGCCAAATGCAACCGCATTGACGAGGAAGCTTGTCATCATCTCATCACCCACGTCGAATGCCTGATGCAGGATCCCCTGCTCACGGCGGACCAGCTCAAACGTCTCCAGGACGCCCGCTCTGGCGCTGTAGCTGAGCTCCAAGAAATCGCTCGTACCAAGGCTGAAGGCGCTAGGTTGAGGTCGCACCACCTCTCGTGTGCCCTCACCGAACGCTGTACCAAGGTGTTCTTTAGCCTTGAGCGTGAGTGCATCAAAGCCCAAACCATTGCCAAACTCACGGTGAACGGCGAGGACTTTACTACTCCGAACGACATAGCATCCGTGCTGCACGACTTTTACTCCAAACTCTATGACTCTGAACCAATCGACGAGGCTGCCCTGAGCGAGGTCCTTGCGCAAGCAAATCCGGCGCGAAAGCTGTCTCGAGCAGAACAGAAGTCACTGGGCGCGGATCTCAACCCGTACGAGATTGCTGTCGCTATCGAGAACACTGCGCCTGACAAGAGCCCCGGTCCTGACGGCCTGACAGGTGCCTTCTATCGCACATTCCAGGCACGCCTCTGCTACGCATTGTCCCACGTAGCCAACGCGGCGTACCGGAACAAACGCCTCCCTGACTCCATGCTTGAAGGGTACCTGAAGGTCATGTACAAGAAAGGCGCCCGCTCAGACCCGGGCAACTACCGACCAATCACCTGTCTCAACGTGGACTCGAAGATTATTTCCAGAGCCTTGATGGCGCGCTTTGCCTTGATTGCTCCTGAGATTGTCAACCTCAACCAGAACGGATTTGTTCCTGGTCGTACCATCGATGCCAACATCCATCTCATGCGCGACTTGCTCGATTTGTGCCGCGTGTGCAACATTCCGGGTGTTGCTGTCTTGCTGGACTCGGAAAAGGCATTCGACAGAGTCGATCACCAATTCTTATTCCAAGCACTCCGCAAGTACGGCGTCGGTGAGAGTTTCATCAGTTGGATGGAACTGCTCAACACTGGCTGCCAATCCCGCGTTGTGTACAACTGCACCATCTCGCTTCCATTCCCGATCAAACGATCTGTGCGTCAAGGGAGCGTCGAAGCGCCGTTCTTGTATGCCATCTACGCCGGCGTCATCTCCGACTATGTCATCCACAAGCTGCGCGACAAGATGCTCTCTCTGGCCCTGAGGTCTGGTCCCCAAATCGTGGAACCCAGCTTGTTTGCTGACGACACATCGATCTTCCTGTCGGATCCCAACCACATCCATGCCCTGTTTGAAGTCTACGCAACAGTTGGCAGGGCTACCAACCTCAAGATCAACGAGGCCAAAACCTCCGTCCTGCGTCTCGGCCCCCTTCGGGATGCCGATCCGCCGGACGAATGGGTGCCTCCTGACGGCACCACTCGAGTCCTTGGCGTGCAACTTGGCTACGGCGATCTTGCCAAAGCCAACTTCGAGCCCCTGCAAGCCAAGGTCGCGCGTGCGCTGGGTCGCTGGTCGCGCCACAGTCTCTCGATCGCTGGCAGGGTCCTGATTGCCAACGCCATCGGACTCTCCCGCGTCTGGTACCACTGTCGCTTCATCCACATGCCCAACAAGTACTCCAAGGCACTGTCCGACACTGTCAACAAGTATCTCTGGAAAGGCCGATTCTCCCCGGTCGCCAGGGAGGTTGTGACCGCTCCTCCCAAAACGATCATGTTTGGGCTTGGACTCATCGATCTCCCCACCAACATTGCAGCGACGGCTGCCCAAGCGCTAATCAACTTCCTGTCGCCTGTTCCCAGCTTCTGGAAGTTGGTTGTCAACCACCTCGCCGAAGTGGCTGACAGACCAGCTCGGCTCTCCGACTATCCTGTCGCCGAGTACACGGCCATGCAGCGGCTAGTCGCCAAATTCCCGTTCAGACTTTCGCTCTCGGTGTTCTGGCACCATGCCTTCAGGGCGTGGCGCAGGCTGCTCCCTTTCTCTGAGCCTCCTCGCTCGAAGAACGAACTCCTCGCCACTCCCCTCTGGCGCAACCCCATGCTTGACAAGATCGACTTCAGGATGCTTCGGAAACACGGCATCTCGTACCTCCATCATCTCCACTCTGGCAAGAAATGGCAGTCGGCCCGCGATCTCCGCGAGTTCTGCGACTCCCGTCTGCCACAGGTCGAAGCCAGACTCCAAGTGATCCGCTCTAAAGTCTCGCACATCGACCCGTCCAAACTGCGGATCGCCCCTGTGCGCTTCCGCGAGAACGATTGGGTTGTTGACTCGTGGGGCTTCCTCCGCAGAATCTTGGAAACTCCGGCCGCCGACGCCTTGTCTGTGCGCGTGAAGCCCTACGTGTTCCGCCTCCACGGTCAGGTTGTGGTGCCTAAGCACATCCTCTCAGCCAGGCTCCCGCTTGCTGAACTCACACCCAGCAGTGGTATCGGATTGGACCTCTCCGTCTGCCAAGTCCCACACCAAGCCAAGCGACCTGCTGATGCAGCTCGCTGAAGCCTATCCTCCACCAAAACGCCCTGAGGTCGAAGGATTCTTCTTTGGCTCTCTGATGCGTCTCGACGTTGACCCAACCCGGCTGCAGCTGCGTGGCGCTCCCGAGAACATGTATCGCTCGCTCTGCATCGACAAAGACCTAGACGACCTTCGCCGCACCGCAAATCGCTCCAGGAGGACGATGCTCGAAAGCCGCCATCCCTCCGAAATTGAGAATGCCCGCTACTGGCTGGCACTCTACTGTCAGAGTCAGTGCAAAGGTACGTCGATTGTCAGACAATGTTCATGAATAAAGGAATATTGACGAATGAACCAGTCCTCTTTGTTACATTTCCCTCTTTGCTTCTTTCTTCCTTGCTTTCCTTCCCACTTTCGAATCGTCGTAGTGCCATGTCCGACCAACAAGCCTCCTCGTCCACTCGAGACGAGCATCCCCCCACGCGTGCCCACCCCCAAGGCGGCCTCACGGCCGCTCCAGGCATGGGAGCATGGGGTGGCGGGAACCCCGCTCGCCAAGACGGGCGCCGCGCTGCCGGCCAAGTCCGGTCTCGAGATGATCGACGTCAACGACCCCGACTACGCTAAGCTGAACGA